CTTTTAACCACGCTCCCAGATCTGCTCAGCCAGCCTGCTATCTTGTGGGTCACACAGGTGGCAGTGTCGCAGGATCTCTTCTGGGCAGTGATGCTGTTTTATAGAAGGAGAAAATGAGAAAGCCTGTCAGTGAGAGGCTGAGGGTGGGTACCTGCCCCATGGGACCTTCAGTGGAAAATTACTGTTCTTGAGAGGGACCAATGAGCCTTAAATGTTTCTGCTAACCAAAAATCATCACAGCAGAAAATCATAGGGCATTAGGGAAAATGCCATAATCACTCCCTGTAGATATTTCCAGAGGTGTCAGAAAATGCAACAGTGGCTCTGGGTCACTGGCCTTGGAACACAGAATGGTAATAGCAATCTTTCCTGTATAAATAAACTAAATATCAACCAATGCTTTTGAGACCAGAGAAAATTATGGCATTATACCCAATCTCATTCTTAAAGATATGCCTTCCTGGTAAGCCAGGGGTGAAGGTAAGCTATGTTCTTGGAGAGGTGCAGAGACCTACCTGAAGTCCTCTGTCTCCTGGTCCAGCTCACTGACCTTCATCTGTACGTAATCCTTCACCATGGCAGCCAGTAGGAGGCACATTTCCTCCTCGGTGAGTGTAGCAGGATCAAAGTCACTCTCCAAGTCTAACCTAGAAGGGGAAGGAAGTCCAACATCTGCTCTGAGCCTTTGCCTACCTTCTCCCCAGGATATAAAGCCAGGTTTCCCGGTTTCTCTACCTCCCCTTAGGATGTGGCTGCCCCAACTTTCAATGGATAGGACACAAGCCCAGTGTCCATTCAAAAATTATGCAGCTTCAACAGGAGTTAGGCTCTGTTGTGACCACAAAGAAATGGTTTGCTGGAAGTGGATCATATAGGCTTATGAAAGCCGATGGTTAGATTTTCAGGAATATGCACTTAATGTTAAATACAAATATTATTCAAAATAAATGCTAATGATAGTTTGAATCTGAAAATGGTTTCAGTTTAATTTGAATGAGGGTGAGAAATTAGATGAATAGATTGCATATCAGATTTAATAACAAATTTATTGGCAAAGCAGCAATTTGAATGCAATCTATTTCTCAAATTATGGTTAGATTAGTAACTATGTTTGTGAAAGATGGAGATGTTTAAAAGCAGTAAAATATGCTCTAAGTTTGAATGAGGTATATGAAATTTACATAAACGAGTATTGTATACCTTATGTCTATTTGTAAATTGTGCTATATAACTTTGTAGCACCAAAAGTTTATGATAAACTTATATACACATTTACATTCATGCATTCATACCCTACCACACATTCCCCCACCTCCACCCACCAAGAGCCAGATGCAACACAGTACTACTGAGAACACAGACTTGTATGATTCCAGGGACTGTAGGGGTGGGAGCATTCCTATCAGGGCTCTTACCTGAGTGGTGCTGCTTGGAACGTGCCCGCCTGGTACAAGACCAGGATGCTGAGGACCAGGAAGGGGGAGGACTTCCAGAACCCCATGATGCCTCTCTGCAAGGGAAAATGATGTCACCCTGTAGCAGTTAAAGATCTATGAACCCATAGATCCAAGCTCTGCTCCTGCCTCTCCCTCTAACTTCCTGGCATCCTGGATCCAGGCTGGTCATGTCATTTCCCTTCACCATTGTTTCCTCCTCAGCAAAGTGGACTGCTGGAAGATCCAGTAAGCCTGTAGCACACCTGGTTTATCAAAGAAACCTTACAAGACAACTGAGTGATGAGGTCTCAGTCCATAGCCCACTCCCCAACACCCACACACTCTCAAATACAAACTGTTGGCCAGGACTCCTCTGAGGACAGACTTGGAGTACCATGTCACCACAGCTTTTCCTATAATGCAACACAGAGCTCTATTCCCACCCCACCCCTGCATTGCGGGGATTTTGCTCATACCAGGCAGGGGTCAAGGAGTAGAGAGGACATATCTGCAATTTGAATCTCTGAGAAACCAAAGAACCAAATTCTACGGTTCACCTGATCCACATTTTGGCAAAGAGTACCCTGTAAGAAACAAGCTGGTAGAGTCTCAACTTGAGACCCGGGATTTAAACTGGAGGAAAAAATATCCCAGAACCTGCAGCTGGGGCTTGCGTTTAATGGTTACCTGCCCCTGGTCTTTGCACCTATTTGTCATCCGCTTACACTATCCGAGGTTCCGAACCCATTTCCCTAGGCACAGGGTGTGATCTGTGAGCGCACAGTCCCCAAATCTATTCCTGCATCCTGCTCTGCAAAAGATGTCTGCGACTCTCCAGCATCCCAAATGGACCTAAGCACGTGTGCGGCTGGAGACAGCGAGACTGGAGCCCGCTTCAGCACGGGAAGAGTGGAGCTGGGAGTCTGCGAACTGAGACCATCCTGTGTTACCTGTGAAAGGAGGCTGCGACG